TCCACGGTGGGGGGAGGGTGCTTCTGGTGCCCACGCAGCTCACCTTCTCTGCCCTAGGAGCTTGGGATGGCAGCTGGGGAGCTTCCTTCCAGGTGCTGGGACCAGCTCAGCTTCTCTGCCCTAGGAGCTTGGGATGGCAGTGGGGGAGCTTCCTTCCAGGTGCTGGGACCAGCTCAGCTTCTCTGCCCTAGGAGCTTGGGATGGCAGTGGGGGAGCTTCCTTCTGGGTGCTGGGACCAGCTCAGCTTCTCTCCAGGCTCTTTCTTTTTGATCCCACTGCCCACATTGGTCATTCTGCCTTTGCAGAGGCCCAGAACAAGCCTTCTGGTAGAGGGCATTCTGCAGGAGACCCCAGGTCTTCTCCGGCTGAGGTTGTTCTTACAAACCAAGTGGGGGTTGAGGTGGTTCACACAGCCTCTGGGGAGATACCCTGGGTTCCTTACCAGACCACTGGCCCTCTGGTCTGGCTGTTAGCTCTTGCTGCCTGAAAGCTGTGAGAGAGCCTAGGCAGTCCATAGAGCACTCTGGACCCCAAATGGCATTCTAGGTATCTCCTCTGCCTAGCAATGCCTGCCATGTTTGCACATGCCCAGAATTCTAACTCCCTATCCCCTCCTTACAGCAAACCCAGTTACCGGAGCAGCCTGGTCAAGGCCCTGTTTCCAAAGTCTCCTGAGATGGCAGGAGAGGCACTAGTTGGGAGGAGCATAGCAGGACAAAGCAGGGTACAGTGAGGTCTAAGTGCCCCTCTCCACATTGAGAATGCCTACCTTGGAGGATGAGGAGTGTTATATTAGATGATGCCACAGGGCCCTGGGGACTCACAGGCTGGAATAGTTATGCTGACAGGACTGGGATACAAGGCTGAGACTGGGGGACAGTGTGGCAGGTCAGTTGGGGCCACTGAAAGAACTAGTCACAGGCCTGCATCTGTGTGGAGGGGGCCTGCAGCTGCCACTGGACACTGCTGTGGGCCTGGGTGGGACTGGAGTCTGTCCTGTGATGGTAAGACACTGGCTCTCCTACCCATCAGCTCACTGGGTAGATTATGGCTTTGGCCCTAGGTATCTCATCGTCTCAGGTTGCCAGACACACACTGCATTCTCCCTAGGGAGCAGAAGAGCCAGAGGGATGCTGTCCCAGGGCCTCGGTGGCCTGGGACATTTCTTACAGACACGGGGAGGCCTCTTTTAGCCCCTCACCATCAGCTTCAGTCTCCTTCTCTGGCCTGAGAGATAGTGATCAAACCTGCACAGTTCAACTCGACAAGCATTTCCTAAGCACCCACTGTGAGCTCACCTGGCATGGCTGAGCCACATGGAGAACACAGAGATGGGTGAGACCCACCTCCAGAACGAGTGAGACCCCACCTGAAGAATTTCAATATGTAAGGGAACTTACAGCTTACTCAGAGAATGACAATTCAGGACAGAATACGATCAAACCAGGACATCCTTCCAAGTGATTCAAGGATGAATGACACATGAGCTCACAACCCTGAGAACCAGAGAGGAAGAGTCAGAATTTCACCCAGGCCTCAGGGGCCATGTGAACTTTGACATGGAGAGGTAGATGGGAGCAGGAGGCTGGAGCAGGAGGTTCCTAAAAGAGGGATTAGCAATTTTTTTCTCCACAAATAATCACTGTCAGTTATTGCGCCAGGGACTGTGTCAAGAGGAGCTGCCACTGTCCACGGGGAGTGCTGGACAGGAGATAATGGCCACAGGGACTGGCAGGGGATCAGATGTAGCCTTGGGCATGTCCTGCTGGGAAATAAACTGGGAGGGGCAGCTGCCCACACCCTGTCACCACCATTTAACTGAAGTTGAATCTGAAGGCACTGGAGAGCCACTTTGGGGGGGCTTGGTTAGAGACTAATGGATAATCTGGGAGGAAAGAGTACTGTCAGCATTCCTCTTGGGGTTAGAGCTCTCAGTGTCAATGTTCCCCAACTATAGCCTGACTTAGCTTCCCCAAATATGCCGCTAGGGAGTATGTACAGGATGGGTTCACTCATGGCTGAAAGAACCCTTTTCCGGGGCGAGGGTGGTGGTGGTGGTGGTGGGGATTGGGAATATGATTTCCCAGCACATTCTCCTACCACCTCTTGTCATCTTCCCAACAGCCTGTGGAGGGGGCTTCAGGACCCCAGTTTGCAGCCAAGCCTCACGGAGAGAAAGACACGGGCAGAGGGAGGGTCACAGAATTCTCAAGGGGCAAGGCCGGGCCCTTCCTCTCCAAGTCTTGTTTTTGTTCTGGCTCCTACCTGAGGGGACAGTTTGTCTCTGATGGCCTTTTACTACAAGAAAAGGGCCAGCAGGAACCTCAGGGGCCATCTCTCCTCTAGCCTGGGTAGGGCAGGCTCAGGAAAGCGTCCCCGCAGGCCAGTCTCACACTCCTCCCCCGCCAGACGGAGCAGAAGCGAGACAAGGCTGGAATGAAGGAGCCGACACCTCTGTGCCCCTTCCAGATCCCTAGCGGCCACTGGGGAGAGGAGGAGGACCCTGTCCGCCCCCCCCCCTACCTACGCAGCCGCGCCCCTCCGTCCTCCAGGCAGGCGTTTCTTCCGGCGCCCTCGGAGTTCTTCGGCCTCGCCTGTCGCCTCCCCGCCTCTGCTCACAGCCCTAAACGGAGCGCTGTTTTGATCGAATACCCTCCGAGAGAAACTGAGTCAAGGGCCCCGATCAAGGAAGAACGGATAGCTAGGAAGAGCCTCTGAAGCCAGGGGCTCGCCTGGGGCTGGCTCGCTTACACAGCGCGGGGAGAGCAGCGGAGCGCGGGGAGCTCAGAGTAATCGGTCACTCTCCCGTCCAAACTATTCTGGAACCTGCGTCAGCAACCCTGTCCCGCAGTCTTCCTGTCCTAAACCCAAGTCCTCCTACCCTGTTGAGCTTGGAGTCGCCGCAGTGTAGTCTGACCCATCCCAGCCCCGCTAGGAGAGCCTCGGGCGGCCGGCTGGATCCCTGCAGGGTTTCCCCCAACGCAGCCGGAAGGGAAGCCGCAGGGAAGGGCTGAGTGCGCCTTTGGGAGAGGAGCCCTCCCGCCCGGCCCGGGGTGGCGGGGACCGGACGGGCGTGTAGAGGGAGGGAGAGTGTTTGATGTTGGATCGCGTTGGCGGTGGCGGGAGGGATCTAGTACTTCAACGCCAGTGGGGCAGGAAGCTCTGCCTCTGGCCTGGCCCTGCGCGCCGAGCGTCCAACGCACACACCCCAGCAGGTGCCTGAAAGCCCGAACGCGGGGACGCCCGCCCGAGGGCAGACAGACCCAGAGGTCGTGTGCTTACGCTTGTGTGTTGAGGGTGTGCGCGCGTGCAAGGCGGGAGGGTCTAGACGTCCCCTGCACCCTCTCTCCGGGGTTCTATATTTTGCCTTCCTTTGTTCTCAAAATAGTAGGCGTGCGCGGCCGGCGCTGCCCTCAGGAGGGGTGGGGGCTGATGCGCGCTCGCTCGCGCGCGCGAAGTGAACCGCAGGGTTACAAACAGTCTCTCCCTGCTCCCCCGGCCTGAATTAATGTGTTACTATTTCGGGCGAGCCAGTGTTTCCAGGGGAAACCTAATGACGCAATGACGTCAATGCAGGTCAGCGGCAGACTCTCCGGGAGGGCGGGCGGGCTCCCAGCTCTCAGGCTCGGCGCAGTCTGCGGGCGGGAGGGCGCCGACGAGGTGGCGAGGGCGGCGGGCGCGGGGGCGCGGGAGCCCCGGCCAAGCCTAGGGACCGGAGGGCGCCCCCTCCCAGCATCCGAACGCGAGCAACTTCCTGCCGCCCGGGACGGAGTTTCTCCGTTGCCCATGGACGTCCAGGAAGCCGTGTGGAGGGCAAGCAGGGTAACTCCCACTCCCACCCCACCTTTATCCCGGGGAAGCCAGAGGAGCCAGCAAGTCCGGACTCGCTGAGGGGGCTCCACGCGGGGCCTCCCACGCACAGGTACGCGTTGGTCCTCCGGGTGTCCCCAGTTTGGGAGGGAGTCGCACTCACACACACTCCCATACCCCCCCCCCCCCCCCCGCCCCCGGCACCATAACTGGGAGTTTGGGGGAGGGGGGTGTCGGAGACCTCCCCCTCCTCCACCCTACCTACCCCTATCTGGGCGTAGGAGCTCGCTGGTTGCTCCGCTCCAGAATCTTCCTTGCTCTTAAACCGGAATTTGGGCTTCCTAGGGGCTGTGCCTCCCTTGGGGTCACCACCTGAGGCCTACGAGGAAAGTGGGAGGAACGTCCAGGCCAGACAGGCCAGAGGGAACGTCCAGGCCAGGCTGACCTGTGTGTAGGACGCATGAACGGGACTCCTTGCGTGTGCTTGGTGTGTGGTGATTCTGGGAGCGTGCCCCGTGTGTCTACGGACAGTGTGTGAACCCACGAAGTCCACTGTGCAAGTATCTGAGCCATACGCAGGGGAACACTTGTGTACCCCTCCTTGCCATGCGCCCTTCGTGCCAGAGTGTAGGAGGTCAGCGAGGGACCCACCCAGATCCGAGATCTCTCCCTGCTCGTCCCCTACAGCTGGCCCAGATTACATTCTACTCCCAGGGGGGCAGTGGCCTGCTTTCCCCTCGCTGGCCTCAGCTTTGGCGGCTATATACTTCTCAGAGTTCAGCCTTCCTTCTTCTCCAGCTCTCTTGAGCCCTTCCTTCCTCGGAGAGTGAGTAGAATTAAGGAAGGGGCGGGGGGAGATCCACGTCCACCGCCCATCTCATCTGGGGCGGAAGCGCAAGCGCCGCACGCTGCTCTCTAGGCCACCGCTCTCCGTTTTCAGCACCACAGCCCGGACAGCTCCACTCCCGTGGGAGAGGCCTCTGCCGGCCTTTGCAGAGCCTGGCCAGGGAGTGACGGCCCCACTCAAACCGTGGTCCAGCCTTTCTAGCTTCTAATTAGCTCCAGAGCCTGATTCTAGACCTTTCTTTCGGGTCCCCCACCCCCACCCCCGGCCACACACAAATGCAAAGTCCCCAGCAGGTGGCCAGAAGCACCTAGGGGCAAAAGTCAGTCTACAGAATCTCAGAGGTTGTCTGGAAGGCCTCGCTACGTCACAACCGGGCTTCCTTCAAGGGGCAAGTGACTCTGTAGAATTTTCTTTTTTCTTTTTTTTTTTTTTTTGGTACCAGGGATCGAACTCAGGTCCTTGCACTTGCACAGCAGGCGGCGAAACCACTGAGCTAAATCCCCAGCCCAAGGGGCAAGTGACTCTGAATAGGACCCTGCCACAAGTTCCCCTTTCCCTCCTCAATGCATTAAATTCAGTGGGAAAAGGCTAGATTGCCCCCCTCTCCCGCAGGTCAGACTTCAGAAAGTAAGGAGAAGGAGTCTAGGATTTTCTGGATGCTAAAGATCCAACTGGTGTCCTGAGATACCCTTCCAGACATTCTCATCGCCCTCTGTCTCTTTTCTTATGTCCAGACCTCACTGGGCAGAGGATCATGGGATGAACCCCAAGTACCTTTCCACCTGCAGCAATAGGCAGAGAGGATGCAGATGATATGCTTCTGGGGCCCTCTGGGTGGGATGGCATCTGAGCAGGTTTTCCCTGGAAATGTACCTGACCCAAGAGGGCCACAGAAGTGATTTTTGTGGTGATGCTTCTTTACATACAGACCATACTCACTGGGCGGTGGCCACCCAGGACCTCTGAGACAGCCTCAACCCCACATCCCAGCACAGGTAGAATCCAAGGTGTAGCAACTCATTCTATGACTCCCTCCACTCCTGGGTTTCTTGAGTTTGTAAAATACCAGCAAGGTGCTAGAATATTGTCCCAGACACTTTCTCCTCCTTGCTCAGGAATCTTCTTACAATCATCTCAGATCTGCCAGGAAGAGCAAAAAGGGCCTATGTGATGCCTCAGCTGGCTCAGAGATAGGTGGGGGAGACCAAGGAGAAGTCACCTCTCTCCATCCTGCCCCATCCTGTTTCAGAGACCTTTGGCAAGCTGCAGACCAACCACGAGCCTTTTCACCTGCCTGGGAACCAGGCAACACTTCCTCCATGGATATTCTCTTTCAGGCAGTAGAGATTAGGCCAACCTTGTTAGATCTGACCCAGAAGTGGATCCTGCTGTTATCTTTGCCTTATTAAGTCCAGGCTGTTAGAGGAGTTTAGGGAGGAGGGCACAAAAGCTCTGGGCCTGGAGCTGGCCTTGCACACTGTCAGCAGGAAATAACCTTTTCTCTGAAGCATTGTTCTGCCTGCTGCTGAGCTACCAGAGAGAAGAGAGAAAAATCCCTAAGAATGGGGACAAGGGAAAGAGAGACAGCATCCTTAGTCCAGTGGCACTTCCTTCTCACAGGATAGAAGCTTAAACTCAGTTCCCATGAAACCCTCAGTTTCCACAGGTCTCAAGGGAGCCATGAAGTGGCTGTTCTCCCAAAGAAAATAATTTTTATGATAAGGGAGAGCATCGTGTGAACTAGCTAAAGAGATGACAGTGTGGGCAGAACATACAAACTGCAAGGAGATGTGCCTTCCCCTAAAGGACAATGGCCTCCCCAGGGTCTTTCACCCAAAATTCAGTCCTCTGGGAGTGCTAAGCATCTGCCATCTGCCTAGCCCCACACCTGGCTACTTTCCAAGCTTTCCCCAGCTTCTGGCTTTCCTCTGGTCTCAGCTGGGTAACATCTGGCTGTAGCCTCAGCAGAGGGCTGGCAAGGTCAAGCAGGTTCAAGGAGGTTTGCCCTGTGAAATATGGGCCTCGCTTCTCCTCCAGTTGTACACAGCAGAGAACTCAGAGAGGAGGCCAAGGTATGGTGAGGGGCCCCACCCTGCTGGAAGCCAGCACGTGGCATTGCACTGAGTGTAGGAGAGAGCCCAGGCTCCTGCTGTCCTTGCCTGATTACACACATCATAGGCCAGAGGAGCACCTGGTCCGTGAGTCCTAGGGTCAGTTGATCAGTAGGGAGTGGACTGATGCAGCACCACTCCCACGACAGGGGGCCTGATTCTCTCTTCAGTCTCATGCTGACTGCTTAAGCAAGTCCTTGTGATGAACCTGTTGCTTCATCGGCATTATGGGTACTTGAAGTAGGGATGCCACTCACAGCTTGAGAGGCTGCCTGAATAGTATTGTATTAGTATCTGAAATTAGACCTAGTGGGCAGAGCTGGCTCATTTGTTCACTAGAATGCCTAGGGCCCCTGACAGGCTTGCATGCCTTGGGGTCTGGGAAAGGATGATCCAGGTCTGATGGTAACTTGTCTGCCACTGAGCCAACTGATCTTCCTGCCAGGGTCTCAGCCTCTTCCTGTAGATGAAAGCCCAGGCCCCAACATTCAGAAATCACAGGATTCCCCTTTCACTTTTGTCAGAGAGGGAAGTATGTGTGGGGAACAGGTCCATTGTGGTCAAAGTCACTCAGCCCTGACCCACAGTTTAGGGCTCTAGTTGGCAATTCTCATGTCCCCAAATAAAGGATGAGGGCTGTCTACAGCAAAATGGCAAAATTTCTAAAATTTACTCTTGGGGCCATGAAGCTTGGGGTATTCCCAACTGCAAGGATGTTGTAGAGGTCTCATGATCACCTCACTGTCCATCAGCTGGACCCCTGAGCCCAGAAGGGACTGAATTAAAGGTCCAAGTGAGCTGGAACAAGGTCACTGTTCTCTCTTCCCTATGCAGAGATTCCCAGGAAATATGGGTCTCATGCAGCCCTCAAGAAGGACTCAGTCCAGAGGTGTCCTGCAGCCACTTTGGTGAAGGTGAAGTTGGTGAGACTTGGAGTTTCCTCACAATGGGGAGGAGTATCCATGGGCAGCCACAGGCACAGGGCTAGCACTGACCCTGGAGTAGGCCTGTGAGGGTGGGCTGGCCCCGTCTTTCACACGTGACCTCAGACAAGTCACTTCAACTCCCAGAATAGAAACAGGTGATGCATCTGCCAGCACTCTTCATGTGACAGTAGCAGGAGTCTGATGAGCTGCAGTGAAGATAAGTATCAAGGGGAGTGGTGTGAGGGCTGTGGTTGCAAGAAGGCACCAGATACTCTCTCTAGGGGTCAGGGTCTCAGCCTCTCCCGTGAGCGGAAACTCAGGCACAGCCATTCAGGAGTAGGAGAAGGATCCCTTAGCCCTGGAGGTTCAGGATTTGGACAGTGTGTTAGTTTCGGAGTTCCAGCGTTCCTCTTACTAAGTTATCTATTCTGGTTACCACTTATGTACCCTGTTGGTGAAGGAAGGACCCCTGTCCTAATTTAGATTAGACAGCCAAACAAACCACACCTGACAATGGACAGATGTGCTCGGAGGCAATTTACTAGTCTCATAGACTCAGCCTGGTGCTGGAGGACAGCACATGTCATGCAGGCCATGGGAGGATTGCACCAGGACCTGATTAAACCAGCAGGAGTTGTGAGATGCAGGCTTTGTGGTGACAAGAGGGGGAAGTGCTCCCGGTTCCTGTAGGAGGCTGTAATTGGCTTGTTTGTTATTTCATCTGCTGGTGGGGAGGTGAAACCCATTAGGTTGAAGACCAGGTCGGGTGCAGCTGCTCAGCTGCTCAAGAAACTAGCCAAGGGTTGAGTATTTCCCACAGGGTGAGAAAGAGAGCATGGTTAGGTCTCTGGAACTCAAAGACATCGAGGAACACTTGAGGACTTAGGCCTTATACTATAATGCTTCCAGTTCAGTGCCCAATCTCATTGCTCTCCAGATCACCCCTGTAAGATAGCTATATTTCCCAGATGAAGAAACTAAGGCTGGATATGAGCCGAGATCATCCAGAGCAAGCTGTGTGCCCAGGACTCCTGACTCCACTCCACACTGCTCTCTATACATCTGCAGCAATTTTTCTCAGTGGGCATAGGAGCACAGCCTGGCCCAAGCAACACTGGTGTCTCCAGATGCCCCCTGGGAAGCCTTTTGCCATTTTCAGCACAGAATTCCCTGCAGCTTTGCCTCTAGCTAGGATGCAACTTTGGCACCTCTTGAGTGTGGAGCTGAT